GTAGAACATTTGGAACATTTTGTGGATATGTGTTTTTTTAATTAGCTTGAAGAGGAATACTTTTCCTTTGCTGCGGCTTTAAGAGCTTAGCAGTGACATTACACCTACCTCCCTCTTTCCTTGCACTTCCCACTTCCTAGTGGGGGCTTTAATCCAAATTGGCTCTGACGCCTTTCTGACATCTTCGCTTTGCTGTGACAGATTGGCTAGTTCGCTCGGCCACAGAGAGAAAATGAAGCATGCAGAATGGCCCCGGAGCTGCTGGTGAATTATTCATGCTATGCACGTGTTCCCACTCGGCTTAATTACTGAGATGATTAGTGCTCCCAAATAGCAGGGCCATCCTAAACCCCCCACCACCTCAACAAATCCTCAGTAGCTCATTGCAAACATTCCAGCATTTCTACACTAATGTTGAATGCTTTCATTTCGACTGTTCCTGAACGAGCTTGAAGTCGCGTTGCAATAATGTAAGTGGAGAATTGTGTCGTTTTCATCAGTCTTTCTGGAAATGGAAATGGAAATCTCTTCGCCGCCCACGGTTGACCATTCACTGAGTGTTTGGAGGATGGTGTCTGTTTTTAAGCATAAACCTAAGAGCAACAATGTAAAGAATGGATTAAACAATGTGTTTTTCTGCTCTACAGTCAACTGTAAATGCTTGCTTGCAACCTACAGTAGTAACCAAGAAAAGCCAAGAGCCAGTAATTTTGTGGGGTTACAGGTTACTTTACAACCTTTTAACCTAGAATTACTTTTAAAACCAACAAGATAATATCATTAGCTAACTGCAGAAAGAATAAAAATCTCCTTTTCAGGACAGGAACCTCCACTTTGTGGGAGCCAAGATACTAAATCAGAGTTTAGGGTGATGTTAACAGCTCTTCCGCTCTTTATTTTGGAAGAAACTGATCCATTTACATAAATCCTCAGGTGCAAATGCTAACGGTTTGTCTGGGAAATATGTATCTAACATCATGTTGGTTCTCATTTTAAAGTGAATAAGCTGAAAAGTTATAAAAGTTGCCTGTATACTGAGGTTTCAATCAGCTGAACCATCAGCTAATACTAACTAAAGTTGACAGAAATTGCTGGATTAGTATCGTATTGTCGTTTTTAGTCAACAGAATCAGTCGTTGGTTTCAAATGAGAAGCTTGCTTGGGCGAAGAGCCAGTAGTGGCTCCTCAATTTCCAAATCTTCAGCTGTGAAGCTTTGGTCTCACAGTGCTCTTCAACCCATTTGTTGTGTCTTTGAGTCTGTCTTTGACCTGCCTGCAATGGCATTGTTGTCTTTACCAAGCAGGAAATAGCCGTAAGCTGTGTAGAAACAAAACAGCCTCTACTTTCATGGCACGTTTTGACCTGGTTTTGACTACCGAGCTCTGCAGGTTCTCGAACAGACACTGCGGAAAAACGCCTCCAGACAATCAAGTGCTTTTCATTTCATCTGCTCTGTCACCGAACGCACGCTGACTGTTAACTGGGCGAAGCGAGGCAGGAGCTCCCTCGACGTCCATCACTGTATCACAGAGAGGAAAATGAGAAAACTGAAAGAGAAAATGAACTCCAATTTAGGACAGCTGAAAGGGCAGGTGTATGACCTGGCGGATCTGTGATGAAACCACCAGAGTCTGAGCGAACGCTTTGGATGACTTGCGCGTGATTGGCAGGATCTCGAAACGATAGTGGCGACTTAGTGATCCAAGTGAAATGGAGTTTGATTTCGGAGTCGTCTCATCTCAGAAAGCTGGAGTAACACATCAGGAGGCAAGGATTGTGTTGTTTTGTGTGCTTTTGTATTTACTATTTTTGATTTTTAATTTAACTGAAATTGTTGTACTAATTTCCTCCCTTCTATTCTAAGAAATGTACTTCATTGACTTTTGTATCCACTCTGGTAAAATCTATTTATCTTAAAGCAATAGTTTGACATTTAGGAAAGGACGTCCTTTGTCTGCTGAACAGTGTCAGAGAAACACTGGTTTTTAAGGTGGAACTGCTTTATTCAGTGTTTTTAGCGGTTTTAAAATGTGCCTTTTAAGTTATCGTAACTATGCTTAGATTTGGAATCATTACATTAGTACGAAAATAATCTAAAGTTCAAAGATCCACTTATCCTCCACAGAAATTATTACTGTTCCCAAAGGTAGAGAATGACTAAATTACAAAACATTTGCTGGTTTCTTTCTCATAAATGTGAGAATTTGCTTCATGTATCATTGTAATTTAAATACATTTTTAATTTGTTTGTTGTTTCTTGACACTTTATAGGAAAAATCATTTGATCATGAACAATCATTAGCTGCAGCTCTAAAATCCATCTCTTTAAAGGAACAGTGTAGGATTGAGTGACATCTAATGGTGAAGTTGCATTTTGCATCCATTTGAATACATCTTACTCTTCCCAGGGTGTAGTGTGTGATAGTGTGTCTCTATATAGAGCCAGTGTTTGGTTTGTCCATTCTGGGCTACTGTAGAAACATGGTTCATAGAAGGGGACTTCCTACCTCTGTAGATAGAAACAGCTCATTCATAGGTAACAAAACATACCAATTCTTATTTTCAGGTGATTATACACTAATGAAAACATACCTATTGCACCTTTTAAGACAAACAACAAAACTTACATGGGAGAAAACATACATTTAATATATTCTTAGTCATGCAGGTCTCTTGTGACGTTAAAATATATGTTTCCCAAGTTAACAAGGAGGAAGTTTCCTACACAATCCGGGCATGTTTACATTTCAGTCTTTGCTCAGCTGTTACCGACTCAGACTGTCCCTCAGTGCTGTAGACTCATGTTAGCGACAGCTGTCATGGGTTTCCCAAACGTTGAGGTCAAAGGTCAGCTGCTGGCTCCCGCATACAGATTCCCATTTGACCAGCTAACGTCAGATACCAGGAGCTGGGTTGACACAGAGTTGTTTTCACAGTGTTTTTCACTGTATCAGCTAGTTCCAGGTTTTATTGCTCTCTTCCGGAGTTCAAGTGATTTCTCTCTTTTTCCTTTTCGCCAAATAACGCCCAGTACTTCATTTTCCTCCCAGAAGACAATGCGCTCCCCAAGTTGACGGTTGTTCACTCAACCAAAACGAGGTTCCCACAGGGTCAGACCGCGTCCTCTCGCTCCGTCACCCCCTTGTTCACACAACCCTGCTTCACATACATGAACACTCTGTCTCTTTTCCCCTCTATCCAAACAGGAGCATTTGTGTGTCATCGCACACATCCAAAGCAATGGTATTTCCCGTCACGTGCACTGTGCTCTGCTCCAGATGACCACGGCTTATAATCCAACAGTCAAGTGGCTTTTCTTTTTTTTTGTTCATAAATCATCTTAGTTGGAAATGTCATTTTGTGTATAAGGCTGACTGTGCATTTTGTCTCTTGGGGTGAAAACTTGACCGTTGAAAATGTCAGTCTCCCAGCGGCAGTGAAAAGCAGCTTTGTTTCTAAATTGACCAGTGAGAATTTTGAGTTCATCTAAAACTGCCAAAAGATAGAATTAGGAGATTTTCACAGTATGGTGGCTGTGTAAAGGTTGAGCCTTATATTTTGAACTGACCAAGGCTGCCCTGGCCTGGGAATCTACGTCTAAAATAACTTAAGTGGCTTGGAATCTCATGCTGGGCTGCCTCCATGTGTCCTTCCTGTTGATGTTAAAGGTCCCATTAAATATGTATAGTCTTACAAAGTTTGATGTGTTCTGCATTTAACCAGTTGTTGAAGTGGGATTTAGTTATGGGGAGTTATGTCGAGAGTTCAAAAATAAAAACTACAAACCTTCAAAATCCTCAATCACCTTTACTTGCTGGAGGATGGATACAAAGAGGAGATTCAATATTAGGTGTTGTTTGGTTCTTCCTGTTGGTGATATTGTTGCATATCAGTTTGCCACATAGCTGACTGTAACGTTGTTGTGAGTTGGCACCCTGCAGACGGGCATCTGCCCAAAACGTCCATACATGAGTGAATCCTTAAAGTGTTGTCCTACTGAGTGTTGGTTGAAGATTCAGAACCTATTTTTATATATATAATGGAGTTGGGCATGTTGATTTATTGTTGAATGAATAAATTAATTACATTTATATTTTATTGTGCGCATGAACCTACAGAAGACCATATATATATTCATGCATGGTTGGACCTGCATTTACATTTCCAAACAAAAGAGAAAGTCCAAAAGTTGAGATGCAACTTTAGTATCTTTCATAAACATTTTTTCAGACCATCATTGTCTAAAACAAAATTCCTAAATCACTGACAACACAAGTATTATATTGTACTGGAGAAATCAGAATAAATTCTGATTAAATGACCCAAGCCCAAAATTAACAAACTTGAAAACATCCAAATTTGATTATTAAATTATTATTATTATTATTATTATTATTATTATTATTATTATTATTATTATTATTATTATTGAGCCGTCATGGAAAATTAGTAAGGGATAATGCCTGACCAGGTGTCCATTATCGGGAATTAATGGACGACGTGGAGTCTAGAACCGTCCGGTCCCCAACTATTTTGTAGAAAATCATCATGAGTATAAAATGAAATGGTACTTACTTTCCACAAATCACACACATTGCACATTTATTTGAATAAATCAACCTCAATGACCAGAGAAAGGGGTACCAGCTCTCAACTAAAGATCTTTGCTGTTAATATGCAGTTCACATTACAACAAACTATTCCTGTAGCTATACAGCACATCCAGCTCAAACTGTGTAAAGCTTTGTTGCCCATGTAGAACTGTGATTTACTTCCTCATAAACACCTTATTTGTTCTACAATCCGCCATTTCGATTAGACTCTATTCTGTCTGTAAGGTGTCTACAGTTTTAGATTCTTTAAAGCCCCATATCCCAAAAGCACAGTTCAGTATACATGTGTTGTAAAGTTGGTTGTTATTATTTAAATGCAGTACAAGCCCATATATCTGCAGAGCTGATGCTGTATCTCTAATGCCCTCTCTTTGTGCTCTCCACAGGGTCAGCTGTCTCAAGCTCTCAACGGCCTGTCAGACCGAGCCACTGAGGCCAAGGAGTTCCTGGTTCAGCTGAGGAACATGGTGCAGCACATCCAGGTACTTAAACATGCACACAATTGTTGGTTTTCCCGCTGCATCCACCCATAAAATGCATACATTATTATTATTAAAATGATTTTAAATATGGACAGAGCATCAGATATAGACTGTTGTGTTGTAAATTGCCAATGCAGCAGCGGGTTTCAGTCTTAGCAAAGTTGAGGAGGGTGGGTATTGATTTGAGAGGAAATAGTCCCCCTGTTTACATTCTGTGTATCATGTGTACTTAGTGTAGGTACAATATATTGACCGCGAATAGATTTAGATGCTTGCAATCTTCTGCTGTCTGAGGAGACAAAGCCGTGGTCAGCTTAAGAAGCTTGTAAGAGGAGGAAGGTGGGATTAAATGCCTGCGTTGATTATCGTTACACAGCGAGATGACGCTCGAGGGAGACCCGTCAAGGTGGGAATTTAGTACGTGTGAAATCGAACACTACTGCTACACACTAGGCATAATTGTGCGTACATTACTCAGTCATCCCATGGTGATGATGCTTCATGATGATTTTATCCACCCACCTCGTTTGATGGCGAGTTACTGGAAGAGACTTGTCAAGCCTTTTGTTTTGTTGTCTCGCAGGAGAACGGAGTGGAGTTTGAGGCCTGTTTGGTGGCGCAGTGCGACGCCCTCATCGATGCCTTGAACCGACGCAAGGCCCAGCTGCTGTCTCGAGTAAACAAAGAGCACGAACACAAACTGAAGGTGAGTGAGCGTGATCAGACACACCCTCGGACCACTTACATCAGCAAAAACATCACAGTTGAAGGATCCAACCAAGAAGGCGAAATGTAAGCAGAAGGGTATTATGAATACGGCTGTTTTAGCATTAAACATCTCCTTGTTGCAGCTCTGATCTCCTGTAATGATAACAAAGCCGTAACAAAAATAAATGCAACAATATTTGTGATGAATGATGTGTTTCAGCCAGGTAAGGTTTTAAGTTGAGCTTGATGTTATAATGGAAACAGCAGCCACTGGTGGGCAGAAAATTGCTTGACAATCACTGCCTGGAAGGATGGAAATTAATCTAAATATTAATGCTATGCTTTAAAAATGGATGGCTGTTATGTCAAATGTGTGTCATTTGTAGTTAAATTGGGTAAAATCACATGACTGACATGAACCAATTTGTTTCAAATGGCATTTTAAATAATTTAAGCTATTTCTGCAATTCTGCCATTTGGAAGATTTTCTCATTGCAGGTTTAAGATTCAGCAGAGAATCAAGCAACCTTAAAATAGATGCAGTTTTTTTGTTACATGCACTGTAGGTGACAATATGATTTAGTACGGAGATTTATACGAATTCAAACTCTATTCTAATGATTTCAGAGACATAAAGTGGCACATTTTTCTTTTAACCATCTGCAACACATTGAACGGGGGACATAACAGAGAGATGGCGACAACATGAGAGGAGGAGGAGGGAGAGATACATTTGTGCTGTACAGCATCCAATTTCACGCTTGGACGCTCTGTAGAATCAAGGTTTCACACATGTAGGTGGTTTTAGAAACACACAGCCTGTGCATGGCAACATGCTCATACACTAACGCATACATGTCCGTATACACACACTTTCCTTTCCTTTTTCCATATATGAAATATTTAGATATGAAGCATTTCATGGATGTGCCTTATAAATCACTCACAAAAAACTCATTTTCATTTCGTTCACGTTTAATTCCTCTATATGAGGAGCTGCTCGGTCATCGTCAGTTCTATAGGCTACCTGTCAACCTGCCCCGCCAACTATAGGAACCCACCCTGCAAGCAATCAGTGTTAGAATTAAGGTTTTTAATAGCTGCTTTTTTCTTGTGTTCTTGAGGTTTACATTTAGTCTTTTCTGGGTTTTGTAACTGAATTCATCTTTTGATTTTCTCTGTTTTTATGAACTTGGCTTAACATTAAGCTTTAATTCAGTAATCTGGGAAATACGCTTATTGGCCTTCCATGCCAAGAGTAAGATGAGCGGATCGATACCACGCTCATATCCTCCTGGAACATAACATGGCACATAACTCCCAAAAAACCACAGCGTGTCGTTTTTACATTTAGCATTTTGTACTAATTAAACAAACAAGATGTAACGTGTTAATTAGTGAGGTTTAGGTGCTTCCAGGCAGATTTACTTACTCTTGGACAGAGCCAAGCTAGCTGTTTCCAATCTTCATGCTAAGATAAGCTTACCAGCTGCAGGCTGGTACTTAATAGTTGGCATACAGACATGAGAGTGGTGTCAATCTTCTAATTCTCAGCAAGAAAATAAATGTATTTCCCAAAATTCCTTTAAGCTTTTTCTGCCATTGGACAATCAGACAATTGTGTCCTGTCCACAACTATTTTGTAGCAAATCAATTCAGCTTTAGCATTTTAGTTTTAAATTCAGATATTTGGTGACAAACACAAAGCTGAATTTAATTTGATATATTTTTTCGTATGCTGTCCCATTTTGTATTTTCATTGGACAAAAAGATCAGACCACCATCCTTCCCTCAAAGGATGGTCCTTGAGGACAAAGAACACACAGTGACACTCTGAACAGTGTGTACTCTTCCCAGTGTTTAGCTGAAAACATCCTCCAGTCAACAACTCTTTACATTTTGCAGGTTAAAATACGAAACTTCTCGCTCTCACAGCGGTGTCACAAATGTCAGAATAATAGCAGCTATTACCCTTTTTTTGCCTGTAGATGGAACACACTACGACATGTTTACGGCTTCAGCTCTGTACTCCCGTTGTTGTTTCTTTTACTGCTCATCACTAGCACAGGTTGGACTGCTGCCGCAGGTTATGAAACTGCTGCGTTGCAGAACTCCAGGGCCTAGTTTTAGGTGCCATTATGCATGCTTAAAATGCTTAATCTGTTCCGTAAATGATCGAAGTGATGGATGGATGTTTATTGAGGGGCAGAGACTCATCAGGCACATTCACACCTCCAAGATGGATGAATTTTAATGTGTCTCAGTGTAGATCTGATTCCTTCTGTCAGCTAACAGATCAGTGCCTCCATGTGTTCGCTGAATCTTAATGCCAGCAATCTGAAATTCTTTTTACATTTTCCATGTCGATCTCTCATGTGAATCTGTGCTGCTCACTTACTCAGGGGCCCTTCTTTCATCACATGAGTTTCCCACAGAGTCAGTGATGCAAGAAACTCTGTTCTGTGTTACTCATTTGCTCCTGGAGGGCAGCGTAGCTCAGTTTAGGTAGATATCAGCCGGAGTAAAGTGGGGGAGGGAAAGGATCACTGGAGGCATCGTTTGTTTTCTGTAGTGCACCTCCAGTAATTGGAGCCCCTCTGACATGGCCAGTCAATGGGATGCTTTCTGCTTCATTAGCATGTGGCTCAGTGGCGGAGGTCATCCTGCAGCCGTAACTGAATAAGACACATTTCTGTCCCGATGCACTCCTGATGACAATGCAGTCCTTTGTGTGTATTCCAGATGTAGCATCTCAGATTGGATTTATTTCCATATGAAAAAGCAGATTGTTGCATCAAACAAAATGCCAGCTATGCGTTTTATACGTGTCCAATTAAGATACTAATGAAGTGCCCTGATTAATCCTGCTGATTCAGACACATGAAGCTCTTTTTATGAGCCGAAACCATGAAAATCATAGAGAACCTAAAATCAATTAAAACCATTTTAAACAGACTCTGCTGCAGCTGAGTTGGCGTCTCATACAGAGCGACCTGCTGCTCTCCTCTGGTCCTGCACGCTGACGCCAAAGCCTAGTCGCCATGGTGACTGGGACATGTTGAGCTTGTTGCTTGTTGTTCGAAGCTGCGGAGGCGAGAAGTAGTCCTTAATAACATGAGTCAGGGTCATTTCTTTTTCCCCTGCACATCAGGAGAACTGACCCACGTGTTTGTTTAGAGAGGCAGAAGGTAGTGTTATGGTGGTTTGTCAGAATGAGTGTACAGTGGTGATTTCATGACCAGCCACCAACCTTTTCTGATTATTTAAACGGCTTCATTATTTTAATAATAATAATTTAAAATATTATAATCAGCTATTAACTGATAAGTTACCTTTCCTTTGATTTTTTTTTTTTATATCAAATGTCGGATCAAAGTCTTCTCCTCAACTAAAATATATCATTCTTTGTAGAAAAACAATCAAAATGAAATATTTTTAGTCATAAAAAAAACACAAGAATCAGCCTTAAAGCCCCACAATATGGGTGTAACAGTTGAATGTAAATTCCACTTTAATAGCATATAATATTCAGTAATACTGAGGACATGACTTACTACAGCCCCGTTCATAACTGACTGAAAATTGCATACTTTATCTTATACTGGTGGCAATTTTCCAGTTTTTAGACAGATTTTCTTTCTTTCAGGAAGCCGTTTTTCTCACTTTATGTCGGTAAGATGTGAAAATCAACTTACAAAGATGTAGAACATGTTTAATTGATAATCCATCACAGGGAACTTCTTACAAGCTTCCGTTTTTTGTTAAAAGTTACACAATGAAGAGCAGGGTCTGTATATTCAGGAGCATGTTGGAAACTTACATCCCACTTTTTCTGGGCAGAACAACTTTGGATTTACAAACTGTCCAGTCAGAAGATCAAGCACATAATAATAACAATTAGTAAACTTAAATGTTGTGAAAAGAAAGTGTGACTTTTACATTTATCGTATTATAAAGTTGCTGTTCAGACTCTGTAGTGGCAGTTACAGTTGTCATAAGCACCTGAATGCCCCAACATGCAGAGTCTTTCAGGGAATAGTCAGACATTTTGTTTTATCTTTATTATCAAGCATTATTTCAGAAGCTTGAAACTACTCATGTCTGTTCATATAAAGCTAAAGCAAGGAGACAATTTAACTTAGCATCAAGCTTCAGAGGGGCTGGTAGGCAGTTATTAAAATTTTGGTTAGCTGCCTGTTTCTTTATGCTACACTATAAGTGCCAGTGTAACGTTTTAATAATGTGAGAGGAGAATTATTTTTTTAATATAGGGTTCAAGAGACTGCTTCTGCTATCAGTCCCTTTCACTGTGTTTCATATGGGAGATCTAAACTCCCAGAGTCAGCAGCGAGCTGATGAGGGACTCTTCTGATTAGAGAAACACAAAGTGAATAAGAAACTAAGTCAGCGTGCATTTTCTTCCTCTCGCTGGAAAGTTTGCCACCGGATGCTTCGTCCTCTGGACACCCAACCCGGGCCGTTTAATCTGCACAGCTGCACTGAGGGTATTTTTACTTTCACTTTAATGATCTGCTGACCTCCCTGTTGACTCCTCGTCATTTGACCTAATGCGTCGCTCCAGGGGATACCTGCTCCCCAGGGGCCTCCACTTCTAAGCACTCATGCACGGGGAACAGTTTGGACTGTACAGTGGCACAGAGATGAACTCAGGAAATAAAAAGAACACTGGAGGCAAATATCGAATGATTCATTTTCTCACTGTGAACGACAGGTTTTATTGTTGCAGTGGGATCTGCAGTGAGGATGAACATGAAATATTCAGACTGCTGCTGAATTCAGGAGCGGAGCATTATTCATCAGTACATTGTATATATTGTTTTCTTTGTGAAATGCTTGATTGAAGAGTGTTGATCAACAGAGGACATTGATAAATCTGCCATTTAGTGTCTCAAACATGTCATGAATAGTGTCCATTCCAATTAATTCCAATTTCTTTATCGACCCCGTACTCCTTTTTACCATTGAATTTATGTTTGCATCAAGGAAATGAATCTCCTCTTACTGTTGCGTTTATGTCGTAAGAGACACATTAATGTTGAGCAGGCAGCGCCTTGATCCTCGCTGACAGCTGAACATCTGAAAGTGGCACTTGTCACTTTCTCTGACCATCACTGCGGAGTGTAACATACAGGACAAAGCATTGATTTTAATCCTTTTATTCATCTTTCTGCCATCCTTTAACAGTTCCAATCACAGATCCCTCTTGTATTTCTTTTGTCTTCCTCCTCTACTCTGCTTCCCTTTACCTTCTTTCTTCCTCTCCTCTTTTGCCTCCATCCATTTCCCCCCCTCATCTTTCCCCTCCTCTGTCACTCCAATCTTTCACTTCCCATCTAACCCTTCTTTCTTCTGCGTCACAGCTCCTTACTTACCCCTAAAATCCCCTCCCTCTGTGCTTCTACTCTACAGTATGTCAGTGTCATTCAATCATTTTCATGCACTTCCGTAATGTTAAAGCTTTTATGCCAGGGTCGAGCCTGACTGTATACCAATCTGTGCTGCTGTAAAGGGACAGGTTAGGAGACTGCAGTCACACTTACAAGGCCAAAAGTGCCGCAGTGGCCTAATAATTACAACAGAAACAGATAGAAGAAGGCAATTTATTTCACAAAGAGGCAGCGGATCCTGGAGACTCGCCTGCTGTACCATATGTGCAGCTGATGAGATGCTGGATAATATTTACCCCTCTTTAAATATCCTGCCTTGTCTGGTTACAGTCAGGGTTGGTGCCCAATATTTGTGTTTGTCTTAATCTCTTTAAAGCTGCTACAATCAATATTTTTTATTACAAATGTTAATGTGAAAGGGGTCACTCACAGTGACAAACTTATTATTTGTTTTTTTATGACTCACAACTTTTCTGTTTTGCGTCACTCGCACTCATAGGGATGACATTGCAAGGTGGCCAGAAATGTGCTGAATACATAAATAAGCCACTGTTTTGTCATGTAAATGTTGATAATATGTCCAGCAATGTGTTTACAGATTGTTTGCACTTCGTTCCAAACAGGAATTATATTTTCGCACTCTGAGCATAATTTTCTTAGCATTTTGTCTTCTCCTTGTTTGGGATTGTTGAGCTGCTGTGACTCTGTATGACGATGTGCTTAATCACCATGACAGCCACATATGTCTGAGAGGACGGAGGAAGGATGGAGTTTGTTTCCCCCCCCCGTGAGCTCCATTCATCTCTTGCTGCTGCAGAAACCGTGGCCCACTTACACAGCCAGCTCTGCCCTCTACCACTGTCCTGCACTTTGTTTATGTCTCTCACCCCCCTCTCTCTCTCTTTCCATCCCTCTGCAAATCCATTTCTCTCACTTGTCTCTTCATGATGCTAAATTTCTTCCACTACTGTCCTACCTCAAGCTGCTGCTGTCCCTTCATTCTGTGTTAAATTCAGATGAATGAACCTTCCCCACACTGATTATCTGCTGATCAGCTGGCAGAGCTGTATTGCCTGTGGCAGCTTTTATATCTTATTCCGGAGCTGATGTAAAGCAGATTTCAGGAAAGATGGCTGGAATGCTGAGAGAAGCAGCGAGTGTCGAATTTGAAGGAGAGCGAGTACCCGGGAAACGCAGAAGATACCATAAAAGTTGATGCCAGTTCTCTGCATCCTCAAGTAAAAATTCCTCCATATGTATTGTACTCTGTGAAGAGAGAGGAGATTGTGATTCCAGCTGCGTACAGATAGGGGACAGTCAGTCTGATTGTTTAACAGGCAGCGACAGCAGTGACAAACTCTTCCTGGAGCTCTGCCAGGCCACTGCAGGGGTGTAGATATTCCGGGTTTGACACAGCAGGGAAGGTTTGGCCCTCAGCCAGAGAAATATAGACCGAATCATCAGAGCTGGAATGAGATCTCCCCTCATTGTATGGGAGGAGAGGTTAAACACGGTCCTCCTCTGGCTGATTGATTACAGCACTAAAAAGAAGGGGGGATAATTAGAATGCGATTAGCTGCATGTCTGTAAATATTTATTTGCTTGAAAATATTCAGTTTGCAGTTAATATTTAATTCTCTTAGGGAGCAGTCAGACCTACAATTTGTTTTATTCAGTCTGAACCTTGGAGGAGAGGTTGCATATTTGGTTCATTTAAGTTCACACTGTCTTAGTGTGAATGAACCACAGCTGAGGAGTCATTCTGGCAGCCAGAGGGATGCAAAACTGCAGATATTTTGGCAGAATGAAGCAGGTCAAAACAAATGTGATTCCAGACTCTGTAAGTAAACATGATTGACTTTGCTTAAATCTACCTTCCCTGGTGTTTGCTGCAGATAAGAGCACATAAGGGAAAAAAAAAAAAAAGGAGACGAAGGGGCTTTTAGAACTATAAAATCCACATTTTTAACCAAGTCTTTGTGCAGTTTGCTCGAGGGCACACAAGGTTAAATTGTTTTCAGCTGCCCAAACCACTGAACTGGGAGCAGAAGTTTTCAGTTTTCTGAGGTTTGAATAAAGACATGATGTGGTGTCCTTAACATGTAGATCATCTCAAAATCCCTTTGTCCCGCTGGCAAAACAGTCATGCTGTGCAGCCAAACAGAATCATTTGAAATGACAGGAAAATAGATGTTAAGTGGTTAAAACATTGATCTTGCTGTGTGACACTGTGACACTGGTAGCGCGACGAGGGCTGCCCTTTTTGACCACAATTATTGGAATATTTGCACACATGACAATATATAGTCCACCAGTAGACATCTTGCTGGATTTTGAGATAGATTTACCTTTTTAATACGTTTTATATTTATATCTTTATAGGAGGTTTGAATAAAATTTTATACATTAATTGGATTTGTCAGGTTTTTACTTTCAGTGCCAACCAAAAAATTACATTCACATCTGGTTATATCAGCTATAATTAAATTAAATTTCCAGAAAAATTAATATATTGCTACTTGCTACTTATCCATAATATTGCCAACACATAGATTATAGCCTTGAAAAAGGGGCTATGTTAAAGCTTACTCTACGTGCATGTGTCTTCTATATGAACTATATGAAAGTCTCCACTGTTTTGTGTCAGGGGTATAGTATTTGCATATTGATGACTGCAGTCATCAGTAAATCATCTTCATGTGTACTGTTGGTCTCGGAGCGACTGCAGGGAGGATTTTCCTCTCCGTTCAGCCTTGGAGCTCCTCGGATAGCAGCAGTGAAGTTTCTGTTACCTAGCAACCCTCGGTCCTGCACCTCCGTTTATTTCGCACTGTTGCAAGGAGGCTCTGTGGACATCAGTGGTGTCAGGGATAGAGAGGGAATCTCCCGAGTCATGTCCATCAAATATCTGATCAAATCAATCAAATATCTTGTCGTATGTGCGATAAAGTGTGAGTGTAGAGTGTTTCTTTCATTGATTTAAAACTGTTATCTTGTATTCTGGTCACATTGTGGGAAGATACATTATGAATATGAGGAGGCAGCAATAAAAATCACATTTGTATTTTGTAACAGATTTAAGTGTGTTTTCTGAGATAAAAAACAATGCCCGTGTACAGAACATTTAAAAAAGAAGAACGCATGTTTTAATGCCAGAGTGATATGTAGCTGCTTCGAAAGACCGAAAAAATATTTCAGAGCAGTCTCATCTCTGATGTAACCGGTGATGCTGTTCACACGCCTGACCCGTGAAAACAAAATGTCACTCTTCTTCCGTTAACGTCAATAACAGAATCGGTTGCAGATGTCCCTTCAGCCTCCTCTTCCTCCCTCAATCTGTGTTCAAGTCTCAAATTACTCAATCAATCACTTTGACAATGCCGGTGCTAATCTCATTATTGGTATTCCTCCTGGTCGTCTCATTCAGCTTCTCTCCATCCATTAACAGTCTTGTTTAATCTGTGTTCTCCAGCCTCCTCCTTCAATCTACCCACTTTAGGTCTTTTCAATGTCGCCATTTTTTTGTTGTTGTCTTAAGCTCTCCCAGCATCCATCTTTCCTCTCTTTGCCTTTGTCTTTTCCCCTCATTTATGAGCGTTTCCAGTACCTTCTGCTAATTTGCTCCCCCATAATTTCTCTCCACTCTTCCCTCTTCTATTCCTGCCCTAATTATACTCTACAGCATTTGCACACTTTATTAAACCATCTTTGTGCATTTTATTCATGTTCCACTCTGGAGTGATTAGAGGAAAAGGGTGATGATTAACATATGATTATCTTCTGCATTCTTGTTCTGTATTATATTTGCAAAACTTGATTCCCTCGTGGCTCATCCTTCTTTTCTCTTCCACCATCCCTCTTTCTTTTGCCCCCATTTTCCAGGTGGTTCGGGATCAGATCTCCCACTGTACGGTGAAGCTGCGTCAGACCACAGGGCTGATGGAATACTGTTTGGAGGTTATCAAGGAGAATGACCCCAGTGGTTTCCTGCAGGTAAGATGCATAACAACACAAATCTGTTATTTCTACTAGAAGATACTGTGATGAAGTGTGTTTCCTAGAGCACCAGTTCCCAGCCTTTTTACCTTTTGAGCCCTTAAAATCCAGCAATGTTTACTCAAAACCCCTCATTAGTGTTTGCATATGTATAGCAGTCCTTGCTATATTTAATTTTTTCAAATTCCTCAAAGGCTCCATTCTCAGTTATAATATCTATATGCTCTCATTAGCTCAGATTATAGAAAACAACAATATGTCTTAAACGTAATTATGCAGACGACACACAGGTTTATATATAACAACATCACCAGCTGACTAGAGTCCTGTACAAGCACTGAGTTATCAACAATGAGAAACCATATCAGTCCACTTCTCGGATCTTGACTTTAAGAAAGAACTGGTTTAGGACCAGAACACATTTCTGATCTACTGCTATGTCCTGAGTTGTCAGAAGCTTTTATTTCACTACAGATCTGGAACAAACTCCCAGAAGAATTTGAGGTTTTGCCCAACAGTCCTTTTAAATAATCTGGGCTGTCTTTCCTGTCTTTTATTAAGTTAAATTAGGACCTATTTATTCAACTATTGAACTGATCTGTAGCTGCACTGTATTTGTTTATGATACTGCCAAATCTGTCTTATTCTATTTTAGCTTATTTTAATCTTCATTTTTACCTGTTTTAATCCTTTTAAATCCTGTTTATGTGCATATTTTTATATTGCCTTGTGTTTCTTTTATATCTTGTCTCAATGCCTTTATGTCTTATGTAAAGCACTTTGTATTGCCTTGTTGTTGAAAAGTGCTCTACAAATGTATTTGACTTACCTCACTTCATATGGCAGAAATAGGTTTTTTCTGATTACTCCTCCTGTTAATCATCTTGTGACCCCTCAGAAGTATCTTGTGGATGTGTTGTGTATGTAGAGAATGATATAATCTTACATTTAAACACAGATACATCTGTGACACTGTGATTTTCTGCTTTCCAGTACAGTATTTTGTTACTGATGAGTTTTAATTGTTCCCAGATCTCCGATGCTTTGATCCGGAGGGTCCACATGACAGAGGGCCAGTGGGGGAAAGGAACCCTCACCCCCAGGATGACCAGCGACTTTGACCTCACTCTAGACAGTGGACCCCTACTCCAGACGATCCACCAGCTCGACTTTGTCCAGATGAAAGGTAAAAGAGAGGAGATAATGGGTTTGTACATGAGTGGGCTAGAGGAGAGGTTGCTAGAGGAGAGCAGGCACAGCACAGACAAAGACTTTTTTTAACTCAAAGAGGCAAGTTTAAGCCCTCTTGAGAGCTAATGTCTTCTCTACTCAACTGTTTTTGAACAAGACAGTAAATCCCCACCAGCCTGTGAAGGAGCTGTCCTGCAGTTAGACTGTTATGGAAAATCTTCCTGATATACCTGCAGTGTTTGGAGTGTTTTGTTAAAGGTTTTATACTAATTTTACCCAGGGATTTGTTCAAATATGAATGTTAAAACATAATTTTTCATTATGAAGTATCTTTCTAAAATGTATTGTGGACATTAATGGGCTTTTTAAGGAAGTGTCCTCTTTGAGTCCTTTGAGTTTGCAGCTGCAATTAAGAGACTTCTTGTTCTTGCATATGACCTTTTTATTTTTACAAGTAAACAGGACAATATATTCAGCAGTTTGACTTGGAACTTGCAGGATGTGCGCATCGACGTTTGTGTGTGTATTATATACCTGTTTGATATTATTGACATACTGTAGCTGTAAAATATTCTGTAAATTACTCAGAAAGTCAAGGAAGTCTGGTGCGTTTATATTCATGATTCGGAAACCTTTGATTATTGCATTATGAATTTATATATTCGTAATTGAATTTATTGATGATAAATATTTAACAGATCTTTGTGCACTGCAGAGTCATATCCAGTTGGTGTGTGTGTGTGTGCACGTGCAGGCATCTTTTCATATCTCAGTGGACTGTAATCTGGCCTGGTTTTTCCCCTCCCCAGTCCCAGCTGCTCCTATGCTCCAGCTGGAGGAATGCTGCACTCAGAACAACAGCGCCACGTTGTCATGGAAACAGCCACCGCTCTCCACCATCGCAGTGGACGGATACATCCTGGAGCTGGACGATGGAAACGGGGGGCCATTCAGAGTAGGTTTCCCTCCACAGGTAGTCTTTTGTCTCCACTCGTTAGGATTTATCTATCCAGTTTACTTTTACTTGTAAAGCCCGGGGGGGGATTCTTTATTGGATTTACATTTAGATTACAAGACAAAAAGTGAAAAACAGGACCAGTTAGAGTAATAATTCACCTTTACAGTACACTACTCCCCCTTCTTTCTCAACAAAGACTCCTTCACTTGGTGCCAGGGAGGACACCAGCTCAGCCAGAGGAATGTGAAAGCGACGCTTTGTCACTGGTGTCCCTCGAGTCGATGTGTGACGGCCGTGCACGGCTCTGAGTGATATGAGAGCAGGTCATGTGACACACTGTAGTGAGGCATTGAATGACTTGCGTTCAGGAATAAGGGTTCGTAATGCAGCTGTCAGCTAGGATGATCCCACAGGAAGTGTGATCTGGGATCAAAGTAGCATTCAAACCCTCTCAGAGCTTCACCATGTAATCCATCCACCCAAGGCCCCTCCAGTCTATACATTGAGGCTCCTGCTTTGTTACAATGGCAACTTAAACCACCTGGACAATACCCTCAGTACAATGGCAGAGGATATCTATGTGCAACCTATAAACCTGAAAGATCCCTCATACAGTACAGTTCAGTGGGCCTGTTGACTCTCATAACAATCAATCTGGGAGATCTTTCCACTTTCTTAAAGTGAAAGTAAACTTTGGATGAAGCTCTCTGCTGAATATTTTAAATAATCTCTTTTATTGCTTACTTCTTTTATTACAGACTTTACACAGAGTACACAGAGGAAAAGAAGAAAATAATGTTTACTAGTAGAGAGAAAAGAGAAGAAATTACTCCTTTCTTTTCTCCATATTGTCTGAAACTATTTTGCTCCTTTGTTTATGTGCTACAGTTGTTCTGAGATATGTTTCTCCATGATGAGAGTAAATTATGTACTGAAAGTGTTGTTCCACATTTCCCACTCTTGGAGCTCAACAATAATGCAACATATAACAAGTAGGGACCTATACAATCCAATTTTTTATTTTAAAAAAGTGTATCTGCATGTATTAAAAAATCTCCATGACTAAAGAAGATACTAGAAGGTATTTAAAAAAAGGTAATTTAATTTACAAATGTCTTATTATTCTTATTATGCTTGCCATAGGTAGTAATGCTAGTTATACGATGTTCCTGTATCTGTTTGTGGGCTGCCAGAAGATGTTACACACTTCTAAACTTAAAATGGGATGGTTGTGACAGTGGATTGGGCTGCAGGAGGCTGTTCAGTGCTTTTTAGTTTTTTAGTTCAGTCTGAACCTGAGAAGTCTCATAATGCGCACGTAACAATTTAAAAATGAAAATTCCCTTAGATTAATTACATTTTTCATTTAAGTCATCCATCCCTTATCATTTATCTGGGTCCAGGTCACATTAATACAATTAATTATGTCATTATTAATTATTGTTATATACTGATGGAAAGTACTGAAACATTTCTGATAATAAATTTACATATTAACTTTAACCCTGTTGAAAGTCGGTAAAAGTTCAACATCAAACCACAAAATGTACATTTGACCATTATTTACTCACTCGCTTGTCTCTTGAAACTGCATTAAACCTCTTGACATACAGGCAAAAAGCTCAAGCAGTATTAAACTGCTTACATATTTTTTTCATAAGTGTCCTAGTGTAGTTCCACTCTCATACCAAATAATTTAGTGTGTTTGGTCCTGGACAAAAAAATGACGAATGCTTTGTTAATATTTAGCGACAATTACAAAAGGCTCTAAATAAAGAGAGTGAAAAATAAGCAAAAACACTGTCTGCGTTAATTAATAGAGCGACAAAACACACCTAAATCCCAAATCAGCCCCCATATTTCAATCTCAGCTTTCTCCCAAACTGTTACCATCTTTTCACAGCTTCTAAAAAGCACAACGTGTCCATCAGATTCCTCTAACAGCTGGTGCAGCATAATTAAAGTGGTTTCATTTGGTTTTAATGCTCGACTTGCACACACACCCAACAGCAGTAACCAGAGCCTTTCATTCAAAGACACTAAAACATGACACAATGTAAATATTGGTCCATAGTCGTCTTACTGACTTTTCTACTTTTTAGAGCTGTAAATAGGTGACCCTGTCAACTTTAGTGCTTTATGAGGAAGGCTGAAATGGGACAACAGTTGCTAACACTCTTCTGGACTCAAACACTCCCTGCGATATGTGAATGGTCAAACAGCAGCTGTTTGTAGAGGCATCCTGTGTTTTTAATTTAGAAAAAGCAGCCACTGACCTTAAGTCAGTTTACTCTCCTCTCCTCTAAATCCAGCTGGTCGTCCCTTTCAGTTCATTCTGTGTTCTGTAATTGTCTGTTTTGTATGAGCCTTCATCCTTCAGTCTTAATTACAACTGTTCCTTAAGAGGGTGATCATTTACATCCAACCTGCCAACAGATTCACCAACTGCATCCGCTAACTGCTAATTGGTAGGCAGTCGATGCCAAATTGCGTTACAGCTTGGAGACATTTATCACCCCGGAGCACATTTTGGAACTTTACATGATTTTTTTTTTATTATTTTAAGTGGGGTTTTTTTGTCTGTACAATCTGCCATCCAGCCTTTGCATCTCCTTAACTTGAACTCAAATCATTTTATGTCATACCTGTGTACCTACACTTTGCCAAACAACTATTTCCAAAGGAAGTTTTCTCTTTCTCTTCTGCTCTGACTCATTGAGGCTCGCCAACGCAGCGCCTCGCTGAGCTTGGCGAGTTGTGTCCCCATGTCTATTTATACTCCAGTGTGGGCTGCCTCTCCCACGCTCAGTTGTACAAAGTCACACTCTCACTTATTACACTCACGGCCAAATCCAAACGGGACACTCCTTCAGAAGCCGAAGCCGGATGGGTTTTAAAAGCAGGACTCTGATAGTTATGCACTTGATGTATCTGCCAGCTTAACAGGAAGCACTGTGTGTCTTTGCAGGAAGTGTACGTGGGGACGGAGACCATCTGCACAGTGGACGGGCTCCACTTCAACAGCACATACAGGTCCAGAGTGAAGGCCTTTAATGCCAGTGGAGTGGGCCAGTACAGCAAGACACTGATCATGCAGACCTCTGAGAGTAAGTTAAGCATCATCTCCTCCTACTACTACTTTAATGACTGTATCTATATATTCATATAAGGAAAAATACACTCTCAAAACAGAATTCATTAATTTATTACTCAGATCCTGAGCGGTCCAGTCAGTATTTGGAATACAATTGTCAGTTTCCACAGAGTTAGAATCTACAAAGAGCCAAGACTCATGTCTGTGTTGCCAATAGACTCATCAGTGCTTCTCCACTGACAGTACTGAACTCAGCTGTCTTCATATATTTGTAATTGAGCTACAAACTTTTTCTACAGTCTACTGCACTTTTCCAAGCAGAAGCAGTCTGAAATAGAGCCAATAGACCAATAGATTTCCAAGGCTGTTATATCTGCCGATATCAGCTTATTGCAAATATGTTTTTATTAGTGTAAATGTCGGCCATTACGTATGAAGTAATTGCTGTATAAAAATGTAATCTAGGTTTGAGGCAATTTACCATTATATAGTTTTGCCAGCGAGACAGCTGACAACTCAATTTTAACACAATAAAATGTCACGTTCAGTATGTGTCTTTGTTACAGTTTTTTAAAGGACCAGTGTGTAGGATTCAGCAGCATCTTGTGGTAAAGCTGCAGATTGCAACCATTTGAATACAGCTCAGCCTTCCACATTTGTAGCAGAAACTACGGTGGCCGCGTAAACCACAAAAGGCCCTATCTGCAGACAGGGTTTGGTTTGTCCCTTGTCCTCTGTGACAGAGGACCTGCTCCCTCTGTAGATAAGAAGGGCTTATTGAAAGGTAATGAAAACCCAATTATTTTAACTTTCAGGTGATTATACACTAATGAAAACATAGTTATGACTATTATACTCAATTTCTGCCAATAGATCCTCCTAAATGTTACACACTGGACTTTTAAAATAACACATCCAAGGGATCTGTATCAAGATTAGTTGTTTATGTTAAATAAAACTATCAGCTAATATATCAGATCTTTTTCCCCAAAAAGTGATGTCAGTATTGGTCTTAAAAATCCAGAATCAGTCAGGCTGTAGTCTGCAGTGCTGGCAGGCATGCAAACGTGTCCACAACAGACAACAAACAGCAAAACAGAGAGATCAGATGCTAATGCAGAATGCACAACACCCAGTTTGCCAGGGAACTGAGGTAAATTGTATGTATACAGTACTGTACAATACTGGGAGAGCTGATCGGGTGAATAAGGGGTTGATGAAGATCAGCTGACTTTTGAAAAGTGGGAAGAGTAAAGTGCCAACAGAATTTGTAATACAACTGATATTAAGAACTGGTTGCAGCCATGACAAAGAGGAAAAATAAGAGACAATATAAATACAAGATAGTAGAGGTGGAAACAACAAGTGTACAAAACATAAAATATAATATATAAGAAAAAGCCAAAGATAGATGCTATTTAAAAATATGCACTTATTTTTCTTCTCTGAGGTTGTTCTTAAGCAGAAAGACAAGACTAAATATACATTTTTTATTGCTCCAGATATCTGCCACATGTTTGTTTCTGTATCCTTGGGATTTATGCATTGATTTTCATTACCCAGGTGTTGTAATTCATTGTAGCGTTTACTCTTTGGTGTCGTCGTTATCATGCCCGAATATGTTTGACACATTTTTTGCATGATCTGATGAACTGTAAGACCCAAACATGATCCTATAGGGCATGATGTTGTGCTCTAACAAGCAGCTATTTTATCAAAGGTCTAATAAGAGTAATGGTAGTTTTGAAGTTATTGTCACTTCATGAGATCACAGACTTGAGACTCGGCTCAGTTTCCTTGGTTTCTTCTTGGGGATTTGCTGTTCATTAACAGCAAATAAATCTTGACTGAACTCACAAAGATCTTAAGAATAATAAATTGCTGCTGCCAGACTAAAGCCTTGCATCTTTTGAAAGACAACTTCTTAGACATTTTTGGGGAAAAGAAAACTTATTTGGTGCTTTGGCAGTGCTTTTTTTATTATCTCAGTTTGAAAACCATGCATTTTGAGTTTTTAATTATGGGTTTTAAAGGGGACCTGAGGCCCATCAAAACTTCCTCATCCTCTTTTATCTTTCATGTAAGACAAAAAAAATAACAGTAGAAGCCTCCAAAATATCAGTTGCAAAGGTTTTAACCCAGAAGCAGCAACAGGATATGAATTCTGTTTGAGGGTACATCCAGTAGCAGCTGGTTCGTGTATAATCCACCCACACGCTTGCTTTCCCATTTAGTTTAAATGCTGCTCTGCATAGATGTGGAAGCTTGTCATCCATCAGTGGACCTGAAAGGCCCAGACAGCCTCCCTACCTGTGAGAGAGCACTCAGCAGCTGTTGGGGGCTGCACACAGTGATCTAACCACTCAGACGTTTTCACTGTTTTTCCAGAGATCTGACATCCTTCACCCTGACCGGACTGTACTTTGATATTTTCTTTTGCCTTTATGTCCCCAATGGAAAGGAGGAAAAGTGTGAATTTCTCCATCAGAGCAGTCTTTCTGTTTCTTTTCATGCTTGTTCTTTTCAAGTCTCCTCTCAGATCTGTTTCTAGGAGCTCTTTGTGTTTTGTTTTTTGGGATCTCCTCTCTGGTGTTTTGCCCACTGCGTTGAACCAGCTTCCCTGATCAAACCTGCTTTTTTTTTTTACCCTCTCCTCCACCCCTCCCGACCCCTCTACACTGTCTGCTTCACTGCTTCGCTACGCTCTCCTCCTCCTCCCCTCTTTTCTTTCTCCCTTCTTCCTTTACCCCACTCCCTTTCATTTCACATTTCAGCTGGACTCCCTCCATGCGATATTCAGTCTATAGGCACAGGTATGGACGGCTCTCATTGCTGACTGTTTCCACTTTAATCCCCTCCTGGCCATTTCCTGTTTCATCAGTGCGGTCTTCACCCTCAAACCAGCAGGAGGGCAGTTTGCTGCTCTGTGGGCTGCACATATTAAACGTTCAATACAGGCTTCTAATAAAAGTCTTTGTTTTATTTCCTTTGGGAAATAAAGCTATGTAATGAAACACTACGGCACATAGTGACACCAATGAAAGCAGTGGACAAGCAAGTCCAGTGGAGCCCATATAAAGCACAAACGTCCGACTGTTAAACTCCCACATTTCTCTGCATAGAGCATAGAGCTATATTAATATACTTTCAACCCCGAGTCAAACAGTTTGCAAAATTAATAGCATTTGATTTAGCCTGCTTGCAGTGTAATGTCTTTGCTAGAGCTTACAGAGGGTTAAAGGCTCAGTTCACACAAATAACGACATAATAATCAACCCTTAGTGATATTAATTTATGCAAATGGTTGTGTTTTTTTTTTGCTGAGGTTTTAAATCTACACCCCCAACCCAATACAATGACTGAGAATTACATTTTTGTTTGTGGTGCATTAGCAGACAGTTGCATATTTACATATTCATTCGGCACAAAACAAAATCATTAATTTGGAGTCGTGCGTCTGTGAACGGGTGAATGTAAGTCAATTATTCATTCACCTTGGTGTGGACAGTTTCCCCATTTTTAGGTTTATTAGAAAGTAGTTCAAAGGAAAGTTGTTGACAGCAGTAGCCAGGCCATTGTCTCCAAAAAGACAAACTGCTGTTGAATTCTTTGATACTTTGAGCAACACAAATGGAATTCCACTCATCCCCATTATATTAAGAAAACTGCTGAAGATCCCAAAACTTCAGCAAATAAAACCACGAGGATTCAATGGGAAACATGTTTTTTGTGCAACAACATAAAATCCTCAGTCAAGGTCAACTTACTAGCCTTTTTTTGGAGTTTTCAGTTGCATCTCATGGTCTTTATCAGCGATGCAGTTTGCTCAGTTGTCGTAGAGAATATCTCATAACAACTGCACTAAAGACCATGAGATGCAGCTGAAAGCTCCAGAAACAGCTATAAAGCTTGGACTTTCAGGGTTTTTTTGTACTATGATGCACAGTATTTCTGTTTGTATCTTGGGCGAACTAATCCTTTATGATAAGAGAAAAACTAATTATAGTTTTTTTTATTATTTTTAAGTCATAAAGAATTATCTACATGTCATAAACTCCACCCATCAGGAGTGCCGAGCAGGTGAAAACAAATGCCTATTATCATTTGCAGACTGTCTGACAGAGGTGTGATATTATTAAGATTATTAACATTATAAGCATTATGTAATAAGTTAAGATATGATGCTTAGAATTATGAACTGTGATCATAGTAATGAATATATATATATATCAATAGTGATAGTGAATCTAGTGAATCTTCCTCTCATCTTCTTTCAAATAAGTATTATTCCTCTCATTAAGTTATTTTTACAGTGTAACTTCACCTCATCTAACCTCCAGCCTCCAGATTCATGTCACCTTTGTAAAGTCATCATCATTATCCAGTCGGTGTTGTTGTTGATGCTAAACACTGTGTGCAACTATTCCCGTGTATGTGCACAGTTGCTTGGTTCACCTTCGACCCAGCCTCCGCTCACCCGGACATCATCCTCTCCAACGACAACCTCACGGTGACGTGCAACAGCTACGACGACAGGGTGGTCATGGGCAACTCTGCCTTCTCCCGCGGCGTTCATTACTGGGAAATGACCATCGATCGCTATGACAACCATCCAGACCCGGCCTTTGGGGTCGCCCGCGGTGACGTCCTGAAGGATGTGATGCTGGGGAAGGACGACAAGGCCTGGGCCATGTACGTTGACAACAACCGCTCCTGGTTCATGCACAACAACTCACACACCAACAGGTAAAGAGCCAAAGTGATGTCCATGAGTGGATATTTAAAGCTTTTAGAGGCTTTTATCATTTTTAGCTACTCAGATACTTTATTAAAGTAAAAGTAGGAATACAACTATTTAAAAACACAAATAAAAGTCCTGCGTTAAATGTCTTACTTTATTGTTATAGCTGGTTGTGCAGTTTGGTAGTTTTATCTACTGGTTCCCAATCAATCTGGTTTTGGTCAAACTATAAATCTGAGAGCTCATAATAAGAAATACATTTGGTAGGAAAGAAGAAAAAAACTTGTTCTGCTTCCTAAATTTGTTTTCATTTTTTTCAATTTTCTCTAATCTTTGCGTTTATGTGAAATATTGGATATTTTTTACTTCTTTGGGCCTCAAAAAGGTTCTTTAAATGAAACCATGTAAGCAGTTTGGAGGGTTAATGTCACTTTGGTGTAACTGCTAACAACTCATAGACATTTGAAACATGACAAAGGGCCTCAACACAGCTTTGTTGTAAGGTGTCACAAGCCAGAAAGGTTGGGGACCAGTGGTTTAATCTTTAACAGTGTAAAAAAGTAAAGCTGTCAAATACATTTAGTGGAGTAGAAAGCACAATATTTTCCACTGAAATGTAGAATAAAGTAGCAGAAAATTAGAGTCAAGTACCTGACAATTTTACCCAAGAACAGTAAATATGCTTTGGTTACTTTTTACTATTACTAACACAGTACAGCTACAGGGTGAAAGAACAAATGTTTTGCAGGATGTTACTGACAGAAGCACCTATTTAACATGAATATCTCCTCAGTTCATTTCTCTGTGTGTGGCCGTGCAGGACGGATGGTGGCATCGGTAAAGGATCTACAATAGGAGTGCTGCTGGACTTCTCTCGCGGGATCATTATCTTCCTCATCAATGATGAGCAGCAGGGTCCGGTGGCTTTTGAAGGCTTGGAGGGCGTCTATTACCCCGCTATCAGCATCAACCGAAATGTCCAGGTACAGAATTAAATTGTGTATATATGAACTCGAGCTACACATTTAATTTAAACTAGTTTAATTTCTGATTGTAGATCTGTTTTGCTTTTTTTTTTTTTTTCTAGCTTTGGTACTTTTAAACATGTAGTATCAAAAAAGTAGTCAGTTTTGTAGCTGCCGGCTGCAGCCCTCTCACTCAGTACTGGACCAATTTCAAAAATTGTTGTTCCCATTAGTCACTTAGACACAAAAACATGGGAAGATAGAGTCCAGGCTGAAAATACTGAAGTTAACCTGTAAGGCTTTTATCCACTAGGGTTTCAAATAAAGTTGTGAGAGTTTGAACAGTGTGTTGGCTGCACTGTATGAGGTTGTATTGACTGACCAAGTGACGGGCCACATGCTTTTTAAGAGGTTAAAATTGAATTCAAACATGATATTCTGGTGCTTAGACACATTTCTAGCCCACAAAATCTATTTCACTTTGTACAAATATTACAAACTCCAAGCAATAGCATGTCAGTTTTATATTTAAATGGGTACTGATTCAGTAGTGTCCTTCCAGAAAGTTCAGTGAGATGAGATATCCTAACTTTCAGTTCCTAGTATGGGTGAAGCAAGAACACCAGATGCTACATTTACTATAATGCAACATAATATTTTGATAGATGTTCTATTTGCCCACATCTCTCAAACAACACACCCGGGTTTGTTACGCATACCCAAGCTGCGTAGCACTCCTTGTGATAAGTAAACTGAACCTCATGTGTAAAATTGGTGGATTAATTATCATTACTTGGAAATAACTCTTTTTCATAGTAAAATTTGAATTACTTTCCAGAGTCATATTTAATTTACAGTAACCAATAAAGCTTTTAAAACAGCCCCCAAAGCAAAAGATTCACCCTTTCTGAGCATTGTTGGGGGCATTTTCACTTGATCAATAAAGAATCACAAGTACAGTCATTATATATTAAAACCGCTTTTCCAAGTTTTACAAATGATCAAACGTTGAAAGAGAAAGCTTCAAAGACTGAACAACAGTTATTAGCTTTGAATTTCTTATTGCTCTCAGCCAGTTTTCTCATTTTTAATGCTGTCTCTGGGAGATGAAAGTGCCTCCAAGACAAAACACTCACTGAGGAAATAGTTCAACAGCTCCACCTGCAGGCAGAAAAATAAACCAAACATTTTTGCCATCATTTATTAACCCACATATTTGTATGTAAATGTGTTTTTCTTCAGGTTACACTTCACACTGGACTTCCCATCCCTGATTTCTACACTCCCGGGGAGGCAGATCCCACTGGCTCCGTGTGCTAAAGACTCACCACCACGACACCGGTTGCAGAAAACCTGTCCAGGATTTCCCAGGGTTCGTCCTGCCGGTCAATAACTATGATCCCACCCTCACCCTCCCCACCTCCTCTTGTCCCCCTGACCGACTGACCCCATGACTCTCCGTAAGAGGCCCCATCCAGCGCTGAGCCATGCCTTTATCATGCCTAAACCTTGGACACATGGACCATCTGCAGGACAATGTCAAAATGTACAGTGCTTTGCAATCTGTACCTTGTATTTTGACGTGATACAGATAGCTGAAGGAGGGGAAATTGAAAAATAATTGTGGATTGGAATTATGTGCAGTGACTATAATGTGAACTTAAAGGAATAGTCTGACAGTTTTGACTGGAAAATACGCTCATTTGCTTTCTTGCAGAGAAAGGATTCAAACCATTCTCGTGTCTGTATGCTAAATATGAAGCTAGTGGTTGGTTAGCCTAGTTTAGCATAATGACTGGAAGTTCAAAAGTATGTCTACCAACATCTCTACAAGAGCATAAATTTAAGAACGACATATGGTTTTACAAGCACAAAAAACTCTGTATTTAAAAGATAAAACATGTTAAGTTAGTGATTTTTTTAGTTAGTGATGAGGATGCATGGTGTTTACTTCCTGATATTTTATTTTTTAATATCTACATTCAGACTTTTGTCATCTTTGTACACAGCTGTTTCCAGTCATTTAGCTAAGCTAAGCTAACCGCCTGCTGGCTGCTGTAGCTTCATATTTAGCATAAAGAAGACCTTATCTAATCTAACAAAGGCAAATAAGCATATTTCCTACAAAACTGAACTGTTGCTTTAAAGGAAGGTGGTTGTTTTTGTAGATGAGTTAGAAAATGTAGCCCCCGTCATACCATCAACGTATGGTTCAGTATTCTTCATTCTTATCTTACTTTCTTAAAAACAAAAAACTATTTACAACAAATATTCTATATATTTCTTTTCCTGCCATTAGTCATAAACATCCTTACACATTTAAAACACCAGGGGGAGCATGAGAGGTGGTCCTTTTTGTGTATTTGTGTGAATGTGTGAGAGAGTGGGGGTGGATGGGTTGAGACTGGTCAGCAGCTGCAAAGATCCCTGGACGAGAGCAATAGTCCAACTCTCAGCCGCTTCACTGTCGTATCCTCGTCCGTGTACATGAGACGCTTTTCTTAGTGGCTTAGCTCATGTGAACCTTCTGTATCGTCTGTAAGAAAAAATAATAATACAGCATCGGCGTATAAAATGCTACTGGAAGCGAGGCCTTCATGCAGCCTTTCTCTGCGGTGCAGCTCTCAAAACAGGAGGGATGGATTTTGGTTTAATGTATCATAAAAGCAGGCGATTCTGCGCATTGAGTGTTGAAAATGGGTTAAAGATGATGACTGTGAAGCTGCTTGAATAAGGTGCTACAGCAGCTCGCTTCATTCTGGCTTTTTTTACTGTAGGTGACTGAATCCTGGTAGTTTTGTAATATTGTTATTGAAATGATCTATTGCAAAGAGGTGTATAGCTAAATAAGTTATTGATGTTTGGAGTTTTTCAATGAGAACTCATCATTGTTCCTTTATTTGATGTATAGTTATTACAGAAGGGAAGAAACTGAATCTTTTTGTCGCTTTAAAAATGTAGTTTGGAGTTTGTTCTTGAACTGAAGAGGATTTACAGTCATCATGAGAACCAGTTTATGTCCTCCTAAAGCAACAGGAAGGGTGATGATGCACTGAGATGGTTTTTGTGGCGGTGAATTTGGGCAGCAGCTTCCTCAACGGGCAACAACATGAGACAGAAGACTAAGCCATGCTAGCAGCTATGTGATGCTCTACCTAGGTAAAGCAGTTTTTTGATCTATAATGTTAATTGTCAGTTAACACTAAACACAACCTACAGCTGAGACCGATGTTAATGCCATTGGTTTTGCAGGGACAAATTGAAATATTGAGCTGACAATGGAGCTAAATAAAAAAAATAAAAAAAATCAAGTTATTACAGTTCATCCTGATGGGGACATGAATGGCTGAGCCAAATATCATGGCAGTCCATTCACTAGTTATCAAGATATTCCACTGAAAACCACAAATGTGTGGATCACCAAAGTCCAAAAAGATTCACCTTCTGACCATGAATGTTTGCGCAAAATGTTGTGCCACTCCAACTGGTAGATATTGAGACATTTCACAGTATGAGGGACGACTTTGAGCTTCTGCTGGGGCTTTAAAATCAGGGGGCCCAGGAGAAGTCATCTTCTGTACCAGATTTCATGGCAATCCATCTAATTAGACATGTCGCTAATGAAAAGTCAGAGGATCCTGTAATTTTCTTATTCCTCTTGTGTTTGGGACCATTACGTGTCAAATTCAGATATTTCAGTCTGGACCAACTGCTAAACATTGCTCTGCCTAAAAAATGCTTCCTGGCAGCAGTAACTGAAATAAAAATGTTAGTTTGAGGGAACTGTTGCCCTTCAAGTTGCCCATAAATATTCCCTGTGCATCGTTGGCCTGAGACATACAGTACATGTCTAGCATTCGCATAAGGTGCTATCCTGTGTTTGAGCTTCATGGGTGTGCCTTTTTCCCCTCTTCAGTACCCAAAAGATTTATGAAACTTTGCTACAAACTAGATTAATGGCTTCAGCAGAGTCAACTGTAACATCTGTGATGCCTGACTTCACCTGCTGCTACATATTTTTTCTATCGGCAAAAGGGCAAACTCAACAATAATCATGTTTGTTATGGATATAATAACCACAGTATTGAAGGGAATATTACAGTCAGGTATGGCAAGCTGTCTTTCTTAACTTTCTAAATATTTTTTTTTCCTCTTTTCTCTTCCCCCGGGGTAATATTGATTGTAAATTATCTGGGACTGATGGATGCTCACATGGATGCTAAAATGGCTGCACACAGTAAACTATATAATTTTCAGTATGATATGTGCATGTGTGCTGACGATGATAAACCAAATTACTGCAGCGTTCAGCAAGTTGCACGGCCTTTGCTGCGAGGCTAGGTTCAAGCTTTGATTCATGCAACATTTAATTGACGGTTTTTCAAGGTAAGCCTTTTGTCCGAGCTGTAATTATAAAACTAGACTACAAAGAAAGTCCATTCAGCAGTGGGTCACTGAGTGGCGAGAGCTTCTTTTGACTCATACAGACACAAGTGCAGCCATTATCACAGCATTATACAACCTCAGATTCCAGGACAAATAAACAAAATGGCTTTAATTTAGCAAAACAGTTCACCAGAGGGTTGTCCAGTAGGAGATGACACACATGTCTGTTACTTTTCAACACAAATGATCTTCTCATGGAACATTTTCTGTGTGAACGTGTTGTTTTATGAACTTATTTGATTGAAAAATAACAAACGTGTGTTTCTGTGCTGGACACACAAGGGTGCTGACATTAAAAAGTGTGTGATTGTAATATTTATTATTTCTAAACCAGCCAAATACACTTCAATGATAATAAACAAGCCCCCGGGGATTATTTAGATATCGTACAGCCTCGTCAAACTTTTATGAATTAATAAAAACTTAGCACAGTCGCTGGGCGACACTGGGTGTTATATCTCCAAATGTACATACATACAGTATGTGTGTGTGACTGACTGTTAGTGTGTGTGTGAGAGTGTGTCTTACCTGCATTATAACCTCATTTTAACTCCAAAGTGATTTGTTTGATCCGAGGTGGAATGTCATTACTCGATATTATTATTTACAGTGATCCTGAAATATGTCTATGGAGAATTTTATGAATATAAAATGAACATTGTTCTTACTATGATTTTAACACAGTATGATTATTATGATTGTTATGATTATATGTCTATCATTACCATATTACTGCTATTATTATGATGATCTGAAGTGTAATGAGCCTCTGTGTTTTTTGTATGTGTGAATATTCAATAAATAGGTGTCAACAAGGTCTCATGCTGCCTGGGATATCTGTCTGTCTGTCTGTCTGTCTGTCTGTCTGTCTGTAGTTTTCAATGTCTCACAACAGTGAATCAAAGTACATTTAATCTGGCTTTCTTGACACTGATCAACAGAAAAAGACCCTGAAGTGTCGAAAATAAAACAAACCTACTATATAAAGTTATCTAAATGAATAACAAATGTACTTTGTGCAAGTGCTCACCTCGTCTGAGTCAGTTTTAGTATATGCATCTTTGGCAGCAATTACAGCCTTGAGGAATGTGTTTCAATAGGTCTTCATCAGCCTTATATATCTGGACTCTGCAGTTCTCTACTTTCTTCTCTATAGAACTGCCCAAGCTCTGTCTGTTGCATATTCTCAATTGGATTGAGATCTGGCCTTCGATTCGACTCCAGGACATAAATGTTGTTTTGGAGCCATTTCTGAGTAGTTAAGGCTTAATGTTTGAGGTCAATGTCTAGCTGGTAACTGCATCAGCTTTTCCTCCAGAATTTCCCTGTATTTATTTGACCCTCACAAAAGTCTTCCTTTCCCATGCTGCAGAGAAGCATCCCCACAGCATGAGACTGCTAACATGCTTCACACTGGGGATGCTGTGTTTTTGATGATGGCAACTGGACGGCATTTATATTGCACTTTCATCCAAAGCCTTTTACACTTCACACGCAACAATGGCAGTGAACAACCATGCAAAGCACAGCCGGGGAACAAACCCAACTCTGCAATCGATAGACAACCCACTCTACATGCTGGGTCTCTCCTGAGCTCCACAAGCTAAACAGTGAGGATGTGCAGGATTTGGCTGAACATTCTCAGTGTTTGATATTGAGTCTAAGGGCCAAAAAGCTCAGTTTTGTAGAGACAGTCTCCCACGTGCCTTCTAGCAAACTGTAGCCAAGATGTCATGTGAGTTTTGTTTTAAGAGTAGCTTCCTCTTCCTCTCCAGACCAGCACCCGGACATCTGTCTATCTATCTATTAATCTATACTTAAAAAATGGGCTGAAATATTCCTTACAGGGCAAACACAAAGTCAGACTAACATTGTTTGTTTTTATTTTCATATAGTTTTAAATGAACTTATGGCAAAATATAACTGACAAGTGTAAATCATAGAAATTTGTGTCAACTGCAAACTGCACAAAACTTTCACTACTTCATATCTGTAATCTCTCTGTGCACTTTTTCCTGCTGCTCAGCTCTGCAGCTCACCAGGGGCCGGCCGTGGAAACACCCTCCCCCTGCTTTCACCAATGAAAAGCAGCAAAAGGAGGAGACTGCTGCATGAAAAACTGCCACCATCTTACCTTTCAGGTTCACTTTCAGCCAGGACATCTACACTAACCTCAGGACAAACCTGCTCACCCAGCATGGCGAAACCTCTCACCGACCAGGAGAAGCGCAAGCAGATCAGCATCAGGGGGATTGTGGGAGTGGAGAATGTAGCAGAGCTGAAGAAGGGCTTCAATCGTCACCTGCACTTCACTCTGGTGAAAGACAGAAACATTGCAACACCCAGGGATTATTACTTTGCCCTGGCTCACACTGTGAGAGATCACCTGGTGGGGAGATGGATCAGAACACAGCAGTTTTACTATGAAGCAGATCCAAAGGTAAAGATCTTAGTGTCAATGTGTAACCAAACTACACCTTATACTGTAAATATACATTCCACATATTCTTCAGAATCTAATTCAACTGCAAAACATTAAGAAATATCTATAAATACAGATAATATTCATCTAAAATATATGTTTCTATGTGTTAAATAAATCAGAGAATCCTCTGCTGCCAAAAAGAAATTCCACGTGCACTTGAAGCTAGGGTTTGATGTATGTTTCAGACTATAAAAACTGACAAAAATATAAATATTTCACATGTAGATGACATTTGAAAGTTGTTTTTAACTTCCTTTATAATGCATGTTTTATCTTCAAGTGCAAATAAAATATGTTCTGCTCGCTCAAACTGCAATGCAAATCCTTTCTGCCTACGTGGTTTGTGTTTGTTTTGAAAGAAAGCCATACATTTATTAAAGAGCTCAGTCTCAGACTTGTTTTGTACATTTTCGCAGCATAAAACTTTCCAGTAGAGTAATTTAGGGTCATTGCATCATGTTTACACTGCTATTTTGTGCAGGAAAATGTTTCCTTGTTCCAGTTTCTCAGCTCAGCTCTACACTGCAGTCTCTGCACCTTCAATCCACAATCAGTATATCACAAATATTTGACTGCAAGATTAGTTAATGTTTGATCTTTAAAGATGTGTGCAAAGAAACTCAATGTTTCTGATTATTTCTTTTTTTCACATGTGCAGAGGGTGTATTATCTGTCTCTGGAGTTCTACATGGGCAGGACGCTCCAAAACACGATGATCAACCTGGGGCTGCAGAACGCCTGCGATGAAGCCATCTACCAGGTCAGGACACAAGTTTACAGGAAACAAAGGCAACATCAACCACAAACACACATGCTGAACACATACAATGACTGTGCTAGTTTTGTTAACTTTTTCTTCTTCATAAAAATGTCAACAATAGGGTTTTATGTTCCCTTCTGCTGTAGCTCGGCCTGGACATGGAGGAGCTGGAGGAGATGGAGGAGGATGCAGGTCTGGGTAATGGAGGTCTGGGCAGACTGGCAGGTAAAAGGATGTTTGAGCTTGAGGAATAAAGGGTTTTATTATATACCTGTTTGTCTTGAAACTCTGCAAATGCAGGAAAGACATTTATTTTTGCACTTTATCACTTTATCTCCATCACAACAATACTCCATTATGATTTCAAACCTGTTTTGGCACCTGTCCACCAAATACCTTTGTATGCCTACTGAACATTTGAAGGAACTAGAAGCCACGGAAATGTTGCAAAAGAATGTGTAAATGACCGAGGGAACTTTGCACTTCCCCCACTGACACCAGGAACACAGTCATTTCGTTTCTCAGTTCAGCACAATGGAGTTTGTATTTTGATTTTATATCAAATTCTGAAGTTTGTTTATTCTTTGCACACAGCATGTTTCCTAGATTCAATGGCCACCTTGGGTCTGGCAGCGTACGGTTATGGCATTCGATATGAATATGGAATCTTTAACCAGAAGATAAGAGACGGCTGGCAGGTAACTGCAGCTAAAAATACATTTTCTACAAATTTCAGTTCATCAGAACACTATCAGCTGCTTCTCAGTAGTTTCTAACTTTCACAATATACTCTTATAAGCTTAATTTGACCTAAAATGATGAGATATCTCCAAACAAATGCACCAGTTTCTCTCCCTATAGTTCATAGTTCAGGATTCTGTTGTCATGCTGTCAGGAGTCAAAGTGGAGCAGGGCCAAAGTAGAAATTGATTAGGTCAGAATACATCACAAGATAATCATTAACACTAACCTAGCTTGTGGTCTGCACGCCTTTAACCACACTGAGGTGGTGCAAGCTCCTGGCAAAAACTGGTGTGGGTTGGTTTTAGAAGAAAAGACCAAATAAACATCGCGTATCTTATGATAAGAGATCCCCAAACTAAAGGCTTTTGCCCTTTTGAATTCTTCTGGTTATTTGATGTTCAGACTCTCAGTTCAAACATGTACTTCTGAACACTGAACTAGATTTAAGCTCAGTGTTTTCTCACTGAGGTGGATGAACCTACACATTTAATCTCTGCTGCTAGTGGACAGTGAAGTAGTGAAAGTTGGTGCACTTTATTCATAACATTTTAATTCTAAAGTTTATAAAGGGGTATAAAGAGGTCAGAAAAAGCAGAGTTTTAGTGTCCTGCTCAATGACTTCTCTCTCTCTGGAGCCTCGCTACATGTAGAATCATATTAAAGCATTTTATCTTTGCCCTGGACCAACCCATTATAGGTGGAGGAGGCAGATGATTGGCTGAGGCATGGAAACCCGTGGGAGAAAGCGCGTCCTGAGTACATGCTGCCTGTTCATTTCTATGGACGAGTAGAGGAGACAAGGGATGGCTCCAAATGGGTCGACACTCAGGTACTAAAAAGTATGGATTGCAGTAGGTACTGATGGGTGAGATCAGGGACCAGGGACTCTGTATGAAGTGACTGGTAACAGTTCTTGTGGGAAACTCACACAACCACAAAGAGACACAAAACATCTACAAAGATACTCAAAATGTCTACAAAGGGACACACTATTATGTAACCCAAATAACTATAGAGACATAAAGTGACTACAAAGAGACACAAAATGACCTCAAACAATAGAGTTTGTCTGGGTATTTTGATCCTATGTAGCAATGGGAGGGGCCCTTTACATGTACTGAGGGCCCACTTGTCTTATTATCTGTCCATGACTTTAGGCTGTTTGGTTACAAATTGCAGATTATGTTAGATTTTATGTTAGTAGTTTATTTGCAAAGAACTTAAATGTGAGTCAGACATATTTGTACTCTTTTGTTTTTACCCCATTCAAAAGATTACAGGCTTTTATTTTGTAGGCCTTTATAAACATATCCTGCAGGGAGATGTGACAGTGTTTTAATGCAAATGTGTTTCAGTTTACACAAGTTGTTTTCATAAGTTCATTGTCCTGCTGTGCCTTCCTGCTGACTGTTTTATCTGTTATCTCTGCAGGTGGTGTTGGCGATGCCTTATGACACACCCATCCCTGGTTACATGAACAACACTGTAAATACCATGAGGCTGTGGTCCGCCCGTGCCCCGAACGACTTTAACTTGAGAGACTGTGAGTGCTGAACATTTATAATGTAAAACCCACTTTTTGCAGAACACCCTCTGCATTTCATTTCAGTTTTCAACAGAATAACTTTGCAAGAAAGAAGGAAACTGCTGCAACACTGGCACCTTGCAGAAACATGTCTGTGTTGCAAAATTGCTCAAATACCACAGTTTCTTCTCCTGCAGAGTTTAATATATAATATGTATATAACATAGTATCAGTGTAATTAAAATTAACTTTCCCTGTCTGTAGTTAATGTTGGAGATTACATCCAGGCTGTTCTGGACAGAA